CAGCTTATGCGGTGCTGGGGATCAGATCGGGACTTGGTGCACACAAGGCAAGCACATTACCTTCCTGAGTTACTCCCCAGCCCTTTTCAAAGTACTTTCAAGTGACCCAGCAAAATGATCTATCGTTTTGTATCACTGAAATATAACACCCACTGCTACCACCAATCACGTTTCTCACCTCTGTGTTTAAAGTAAAACAATCCTAGTCCTTTACATCATTCCCGTGCCCCAATTTGCCCTACTCTAAAAGATGAACCACTGGTCAGAATAAAACAGACTCAGAGGCAGTGGAAAACACTAGTGAATTGATAAAAGCGATCTACTTTTGTACAGTGCTTTCTGGTTTCTATGGTGTTTCCATCCAATGATCTGATTATATTTTCTCACTACAATTCTGTGAGGTAGTTAGTGAAGATATTAATTCCCATTTAATAGCTGGGGAGCTTCAGCCTTGGGAGACCAAGTGGTTTCCCCAAAGTCACCCAGCTAAGAAAGTGTAGAGTCAAGTGTTCAGGTCACTTGACTCCATTTCCGGTGCGTATCCCCCATATAATGTATAATAGGCAGGCAATTAAATGAATTGCCCATGATCGTACACCTGCTAAGTGTGGGTAACGGGATTGGGATGTAGCCTCTAAATCTGTTAGTATGGTACCCATTCACCATACCAACTAGCTGAGCCAACGTGCTCCAAATGACTGCCACAAGACACAGCCAACCAAGCCTGGTTAGTAGGTCGCTCTTTTCCACCCATGACTCCAAGCCTTCTCCTTCACCCTCTCCAAGGCAACAATGTGTTTGAAATAAGCTTAACCTCTGACTCATGTGCTATTCTAGATTAGTGCCCAGGATATAGACTTAAAATTTGTAACCTGTCCTTCACCTATCTACTGATTGTTTGGTCATTGCTGTTAAGCTAATGGGAGAGAGATTAAGAGGAGTGAGCAGAACTGAGTTCTGCCATTAAGTTAATTTACGTATTACATTCTCAGCCCTTTTACTTTGTAAGGATCTTGAGCCAGAGTATAAGATACAGTCGGATCTAGAATTGGGGACCATGAACATCGAGGTTCCGGGTACTTTTCTCTGGTCAGTTAGTTCCAAACGGCTGCTCTGTGGTTTACGCAGTGGGATCATCCTGCTATTTAAGAGAGTTTTCATCCCCTTCCTTTATGTGAGAATGGAGCAAGCAGCGGGGGCATGGGAACTGTGAAGTCAGCAAACTCAGTCTCTTCTTTTTGGAAAGGCACTCGATCTATCATCCCAACCCTAAAGCACACGTAAACTTCTCTCAGACCAGAATTCTTAGGCTTCCTGTCTCCTGCACAGCATTTCGGAGAGGGCAGAGTCAGTCTCAGCCATGAAAAAGGAGGTATGCTCAAACACTCTGATGGGCTCTATCTATCTGGCTGAGCATACCGACGCTGTAACACCAGATCTAAGCTTGTACACCAGAAATGTCTTGTGGCAGTTATTCTGAAGGCAGTGGCTTCCATAATGCTAGTGCCCGCCAGGGGTCACATCTCTGTGTGGAAGAGAAGCAGTTGTTCATGGTCTGGCATGCCAGTCTTCCTTTAGAAAAACTGGCTCCAGGGTACAGGCACTGTGATAGCTTCTGAGGTTGAACATGGAGATGGGTTTCTTCTACTGGAAGATGAGCTATGTGCTGAAAGATAGGTGAGCCACACCTGCCCCTCCAGGCATGGGATTCTCTAATCTGGGCCCACCACCACCCTAAGAGGGGCAAGGGAAGCGTGGTCCCATCAATCCATGGTCCACACGTGGCCAAATATCTCACTACAAAATATTTGGTGGTCATTAGGTACAAAATTATTTATATACAGTGTGTCCTACAGAGATGGAAGGAGGGGGCTAACTGATGTCCATGAGTATGAAATGATACACACTTTAGGCATATACGAAGATCTCAAGGGGTAGTAACCCAGTGAACATTCTAAGAATCATCCTCCACACAACTGTGAAATGTAGTGGGTGACAGAAGCTACAGACTCCAGAGGAATTCCCACAGAACCTGGGTCTGCAGCAGCTCTAAAAGGGGAAGGGAAGTGGAGCTGGGGAGACAGCCTCCCCTTCAATCCGTTGTCCAGATGTAGCCAAATACCTAGTTAGATATCTGACGATGCACACACACACAGAGACACACACATGCACACACACACACACACACACACACACACGGATGGAGGATAGATGGAGGAAGACTAACTTCCCTCAAAGACGAAAGCAAGGGATTTGATCATGCTGAAAAGGACGAAGGAGCTTCCGCTGCGCACATAACGCAGATGGAGAAACACACTTGTGCTACTAAACGAGTCACTATTTCTAGACTTGAGAAATGTATCTCCTAAGCCATCTATCTTCACATGCATGACAAGACAGCAGTGACAGGAACCTTCAAGTCTAGGCGAGCAAGTTTTCACTTACTATGGGCCTGCACAAGTGTAAAGGGAAGGGAGCAGGCTTAGGGAAACTTGAGCTTGCTCCAAACAGCCAGTCAGGCATTAGCAAATACTCAACACACTAGCTAGCAAAATATATACATATAAAAATAATTTACACATATTACATCTCATCATGATGAAATTAATGTCTGCTCTAGGAGGTGAAATCTCAGACTAATTATATGATTTGATACATACCCCCCAAATGTCTGTTTTATCCTCTAGTAGTTATCTCCAGTATGGAAATACTTATGGAAATGTTACTTTACAAGCCATTTAAAAATCCATAATGATAAAACAGTTGATTAGTAATAAATAATCTCATAAACTCATAAGCTAAAACAGTATGATTTAAAAAATAATGTTCTACTATCTTGCTTTAATAATATTAATAACTCCTTATAAAAAGGACTAGCCGTGATCCAAATCTAATTTTTCTTGTTTTTTGCCAGGCTCTGTTAACAACTGCAACCCATTCTCCAAAATGTGGAGCTTCAGATAACACTCTGCAGGGTCAGAGTTTCTTACGAGATGGAGGCAAAAGAGTGAATAAGGAGAGGAAAAGGATTACTTGTAAAAGTTTGCTAGGGACTCTGCTTTTAAAGAAGTCTGTGACAAAACATAGCAGCCTCCCTTGGACAACATAGTAAGAAAAATTCTGATTGAAATACATTGTGCACATTTCACCCAGGTAGAACTGATGACTGCTTACCAGTCAACAATCTAGAGAGAAGAAAGGAGACGGCTTCTTACACAAAGACTCTTCTCACCATGGCCAAGAAGTTAATGCTGAGAGTCGGGTAGTATTTATGACATGTAGGCACGACATGCATAAATAATCTCAAGAACACAATTTTGCCTTTACCATACCGACTGAACCGTAAGTACATGACACTTCATATGCTTTAGTTGGGGGAGGGTGGGCTGGGGATCTCGTGTAGCAGTTAGCCAACACTGATCTTCCTGCCTCTGCTCCGAGGGCTAGGAATAGTGGTGTGTGCTGCCACACCTGGCTTCCCTCAATTCTCAGTAGTGCTATGGTGAGCAATAACTCACAGACTTCTTGAAAACTGAGCAACCAGCAAGCTTATATAAACCTATATAAATGGGTGAGTAGGAAAGAAAAATCAGACTGAGAACTATCAAATGGAATGTACTAATATGTTTCAAGATTGACAGGAACATAAAGGATCGGGGATGACTTAAAAAAAATATCAGCAAACCCTCCTTACTATGTCCTGAAAAATGTAAAAACGAGTAAAAAAAAATGAGATGTTTAAAAGGCTTTTTGCTTTCAGCTCTGGGTATTTATAGAACAAGTAAGTGTCCAGTTTCTCCCTCCAAGTGTCCAGTTTCTCCCTCCAAGTGTCCAGTTTCTCCCTTTAAGTGTCCAGTTTTTAAAAGGCTTCTTAAAATAGATTCCAAGAGCTTTTCAAGCTATTTACCCATTAACTTGCCTTACTGCTACCAAGTAACCCAGGAACACCCGGTAACTAAAACGATACAGGAATGGGCCCAAGATCTGCCAGGGACAGCAGCTTCTTTTGCTCTGTCAACAGCATAAGAGATAACACCTTTGTAAGACTCAGAGTCATAAAGAGAAGGGAAACAAGAGAGGGGCTGTGTATGGGAGGTAGAGGACAGGGAAAGGAGATACTAGGACAGTTTATCTTCATGGAATCACAGAGGGTGTGCCCAGAGAAGTTTAACTGAAGAGGCAGGACTCACCCTGAATGTGGGCAGCGCCATCCCATAGACTGGGGTCTCAAACTGGGAGAAAGGAGAAAGTGGGCTGAGTCCCAGCATGCATCTCTCTCTGCTTCCTGTCTGTGAATACGATGTGACCAGCTGCCTCCTGCTGTCATTCTTCTCTGTCATGGTGGATGGTACCCTAAAACTGTGACCACATTGAACCCTTTCTTCCTTACGTTCCTTTTGCCAGCTACTTGGTCACAGCAGGGAGCAGAGGAGCGAGCATAGGTACCTCACAGAGGCGCCACAAGCTGTTATCTATGACAGGAGAGAGAAATGATTAATTTGGGCTAAAGATTTCTGTCATTGTTACCTTAATTTTGCACTGCACTGCCCAACTATCACACTAAAAAATTAATGCAATCATTTCACTTCTTCTTGCACAGGCTTTGTCTTTGAGGGGACAAAGATCTGAGTAGCCGACAATTCATTTTTACCTAATGTTTGCAAATGTCTGGATCAACGATGTCATGTGATAAAAGTAGCACCTGATTTTATCAAAAGGCAGAGAAGCGATTGCATGTAGAACAAAATCTATATAACTAACCACAACACAATGCCCACAATTTATCCTGTGAGCTTGTCATACTGAAGATGAAGCAAAAATTACTTTTAAATTTTGTCAAATTCATTCAATCTTATGTATTGGAAACTTTGATTGAGGTGCCATGATCTAGTAAACTTATTTTTAACCACATGTATATATGTATACATATATGTATGTATGTATGTATGTATATATATATATATATATATATATATATATATATATATATATATATATGGGTTATGTATGTATGTTTGGGAATGCCCTCAGAGGCTGGAGGCATCAAACTCCCCTGAAGATGGATGGCCACTGTTAGGTACTTGACATAGGTGCTGGGAACTGTACTCTGGTCCCCTGGGAAAGTAGCAAGCACTCTTAACTGCTGAGCCGTCACTCTAGCCCTTAAGATGCCATTATTATTGTTTTATTTAGGAATGTGCTATTTTGAAATTTTCTTTTAGTAAAATTTAAAATTTTCTATTATACCTGGAAAGCCTTTCAATGGCTTTGTAAGTAACTGTCTATTAAATATAATTTGGGTTGGAGATACAGCTCAGGGGTAGAGTGCTTGCCTAACATACACAAGGCCCTGGGTACAATTCCTAGTGCCACCCACCTACACAAATGTTTAATTCATGTTTAATCATGGTAAAGTGTGTGAATTATCAGCATACTCATGGGATAATAAACAGTTAATTTGATAATACAAGGTTAAAGTGCTGCCTAAGGAGGATCCCACTGACAATCAATCATCCGGGCATGTGCACGCAGCGACAGTTTTCTGGAATTAACGGAGAGTTTGTGAAAGATTGGCAATACTAACTTCTGATGTGGTCAGCAGCACACGTCCCATGTACTCAGCCTAACTCAAAGTGATGCGTGTAAACAGAGATAGGCCTCTACTGCAATCAGCTACAAACACACGCTAAGCCCCTTTCCACGATTAAAAACACGTTCATGTAAGAAAGCAAGACAATATGAAAGTGGTTAAAATCATCTCCAGCGCTGTTACTGTCTGAGATCCGTGTCATCCTGTTTGTGCACGCTTCCAGGTGTGTCCAGGAGAAAGTCAAACCACTACACACGTTTTCGCATAAATAAGTAGTCTAAGAAAGAGTAACCTCTAGGATTATGACTTAGACGGTTAACGGAAACGAACAGCCTTAGATAGAGTGGTCCCATGAAGAAGAGGATGAGTTTTTGTCCGTGTTTCAGATGGCTGCGTGGTGGAGGTTTACCTCCGGTCTCCTTCGACTCTCTTCTTGCGAACTAGGTAAGAGAGAAAGAAAAAATTAAAAAAGACAAATAGAAGAAAAGGATATTGTTTGAAATCATTCTAGAGCAGTGGTTCTCAACCTTCCTAAGGCTGCAACCCTATAATACAGTTTCCTGTGTTGTGGAACACAATAAAATTATGTCACTGTTACTTCAGAACTGTGATTTTGCTACTCTTATGAATATGCAAATATGTAAGGATCTGATAGGCAGGATCTCTGACCCCCAGGTTGAGAACCACTGATGGAGAAGATATTTACCCCGCAAAACTCTATGCCACACACCCAAGGGGATGAACCATCTTAAACTTCAACATTCAATGAATTATGGAAATAAATGGGAATGGCAAAGCAATCTAGTATAAGGAAGAATTTAAATTTAAATCAAGTTATGTCTGTCTGGTAGCTGGGAATGTCTCTGTCTGTCTATGGAGCAGTCAGTCCAGGAGAGATCAAGGAGCAGTGAGCTGCTAAGTATTTTCATGGGGATTTACACACAGGGCATCTCCTTGTCTTCTGTGCAGCTCTGTCACTGACTGGCCCTTGCAAAGTCCTCAGGTGAACACAGCCTCACCCATGACCTCTGACTATGACTGGGAGACCAGGCTTCTGTAAAGAGAAGCTCAGATTCCCTAAATCTCTTCTTGATTAAAAGCTCCTAAGTTTCCGATGCAGTGGAGTGCACCTGAAGTCATAGTATTCTGAGGCTGAGGCGGGAGAATCAAGAATTGGAGGCCAGCCTGGGCTACATAGGAGTTCCAGGACAGTCTGGGCTATACAGCATTGTTCTGTCTTCAAACAAACAAACAAGCAATTCCTAAATATTGGTCTTCAAAAAATGTATGGTTTAGACAATTGGAAAAATCAGAGATTGAGGTTCCTTTAAACCAGTACTTAGGACCAAAGATATTTTGTTAAGATGGCCTCATTTGGTGGCTGGAGAGACAACTAGGTGGTTAAGGGTATTTGTTCTTTTGGATAACCTGGATTTGATGTGGGAGTGATTTCTTATTAATAAAGAAACTGCCTAGACCCATTTGATAGGCCAACCCTTAGGTAGGCGGAGTAAACAGAACGGAATGCTGGGAGAAAGAAGCTGAGTCAGTGAGTCGCCATGATTCTCCCACTCCAGATAGACGCAGGTTAAGATCATTCCTGGTAAGCCAGCTCGTGGGCTATACAGATTAATAGAAATGGGTTAGATCAATATGTAAAAGCTAGCCAATAAGAAACTGAAACTAATGGGTCAGGCAGTGTTTAAAAGAATACAGTTTCCGTGTAATTATTTCGGGTAAAGCTAGCCGGGTGGCAGGACACAGCCCGCTGCTCCGTATTTCAACATGGATTCAATTCCTAGCACCCACATAGCTGCTCATAACTGGCCATAACCCCAACTCCAGGAGAATGGAGCTCCTTGTGACCTCCAAGGATACCAGACACATACATGTTACACAGACATACATGCAAACTAAACATTCATGCGCATAAAATAATACATCTTTAAAAACTGCCTGATTCTATCCTTCTCTTCCCTCCTCTGATATGGTCTTATCATGTAGCTCAAGTTTGTCTTTAATCAGGATTTTCCTGCATTAGCCTCCCAAATGTTGGAATTACAGGTACACACCATCAAACCTGACACATTCCTGGTTCGCACAACCCTTTTCTTCTCTTCTTTTCTGCACTTCCTGAGCTGCAGACCCTTTTGGTTCATAGCAAGGGGCTTCTGGAAGCTTCCTGGATTTAGCCAACTGGTACACTGTCTGAGATCCCCTCTAACTCTCTATGTTCAGTAGCCCAAGCTGTAGGAAAGCTGCCACCTACAATGGCTGTTCCTGGGCACGGGATCTGTTGTCAGTACTTCCAGAGCCTCGCTTTGCTTACTTTTCTTTTGTTTTCTGGACTGTTCAGATACAAACCTAACATGCTTTCTTTCTGAGTATTGAAAAAACCATGTCTTCAGAAGTCAGACATAAGGAACCTGGGACTGCCATGCCCTGTGTCAGAACAGAAAGAGTACTGATGTGTACTGAAAAGCTCTGTGACAGTTTAACCCGTGTAATGTGGCTCTGTGAGAGTACTTCACATGCAAAATACAGAGGCATTCATGCCCCCACACTTAGGCCTGAGTATTGAAAAAACCATGCCAACGTGTGTACATTGGTTAATAAAGTTGATTTGGCCAATGGCCAGGCAGAATAGAACCAGGCAGGGTAGCCACTGGAGAAGCAAGATGCCAGCAAACTGGTAATGCCACAGTCATGTGGCAATACACAGATTAATAGAAATGGGTAAATTTAAATGTAAGAGCTATCTAGTAAGAAGCCTGAGCCATTGGTCAAAGTTTTATAATTAATGTATGCCTATGAATGGTTATTTGGGAACTGGCGGGCCAGGAAAGAAACCTCCAGTTACAGAGTACCATCAGCTTGGAAGGAGGAGAAGAGTGTAGAGGAGGCTAGGGAAGGAAGGGGAAGGGAGAGGAGGGGAAGGGGGAGGACAGGAGGGGAGGGAAAGGGAGGAGATGAGAGACAAAGAAACCAGGTAAGAGCTAAGCTAGAGAAACAGCTCTTCTAAAAGAATGTTGTGTTGAAGTTTAAACACACCACAGACCAGAGGATGACCACAACCGCCGATCCCAGGGACATGGCATCTGAGATGCTACCAGAGTTCTTCCTACTGATCACACCTGCCTTACCAAGGTCATTATTTTTTGTGATGGCAGCTGCCACTCTTGTCCGTGGCCCTTGCTTGGTAAACTGGTACCCGAACTTGAGGATCCTTGAGTTCTCCTCCAGCATCTGGGCTATCTCCATCTCCACAGCGGTTCCCAACTGCTGCCTCTGGATGTGGATGCACAGAAATAAACATGGGATAAATAGGAATGGAAAGGAAACAGTTACAGGGGAAGACTACATGGCCACCTCCACAAAAAGGTTCAAAGGGAGAAAGCCACCAGAGACATCCCTTCCATGTAGTTTCCATGTTGAAACAAAATGCAGACAGCCCAATCAGCTGATACTCGAAAATGAAAAAGAAAACTAACCAACCAACCAAACAAACAAAAGTAACAAAAACAAGAAATCAGGCTGGGGAGATGGCTCAGTGGGAAACGTGCTTCCGTGCAAGCATGGGGACCTGAATTTTGGATCCCCAGACCTATGTTATAAAGTCAGACATGATGGCATGAACCTGTAACTCCATAGCTGGGTGTGCAGAGATAGGTAAATTCCAGAGGTCACTGGTCAACCAGTCCAGCCAATCAGCGAGCTCCAGGTTCAGTGGGAGACCCTATTCCAAAAACTAAATCTATGGTGGGATGTGACAAGAAAAAGACACCTGACATCAATCTCTAGCCTTCACGTGTACGCACATGTATTTACACACTCACATGAACATACACATAAGCAAAAACAATAAAACAAAACCCAAACCAAAACAACAGCAACAAAAATCCCAACAGCAAACAAGAAATTCATTCTGAAGATGAACTGGGTGTAGGACTATATTGCAGTACTCAGGAGATTGAGGCATGAAGCTCAAGTCTAGCCTGTGCTAACCATCGGGACTGTCTCCAAAACAAATACGTGACACAAAACAAACAAAATAAAGAGAGGACAATTCCTGAATGAGTCTAAGCAAAACTAAGATTTGGGCTTCCACGTCGCTCAGTGCTAATGGAATTAAAGCAGGGATGTTTCTTAAGTAGTGGTAAAGTCTGACAGCCATCAACTCAAAAACTGAATATACTATCCTGGAATCCATATCCAAAATCAATTAAAGATCTAGGATGGAGAGATGGCTCAGCCATTGGGAGCACCTGCTGTTCTTCCAGAAGACCTGTATTTGATCCCCAGCACCAACATCGGGCAGCTCTTGATCTCCTGTAACCCTAGAGTCAGATGTCTTTGACCTCTGACCTCTGGCATACACACCATTCAAAATAATAATAAAATAAGTTAAAGATCATTGATCGATGGCCTCTAAACAAGAACAAGTTTCAGTTTCTGGGCAGGGCTCCCCCACTTCCTTCCTGAGCACAGTCTCTGTAAGAGGCAATGTCAAGGCTGGGGCAGCACTGGGCTTTGGCTCAGACCATAGGGTAAGAGAATAAACAAGACAGCTGGCATGCCCCTGCTGCCTGGCTAGTTTAGGGCAAGGGTAGCTGGCTCTCTGTGGGTCTGCTGGACTGCTGAGAAGTTGAGACTGTCCTCTGGATGGAGGAAGGTCATTGGCTAATAAAGGCACTGCCCTGGCCCATTTTATTGGTTAGAGGATAGGTGGGAGGAGTAGGCAGAACAGGACGCTGGGAGGAAGAGGAAGTGAGCTCAGTCTCGACAGCTTTCCTCTCAGGAGCAGAAGCCTGAGAGAGACGCCGTGCCCCCGGCATGAAGCTCCGACCCAGGATGGACTAGGCTAGAATCTTCCCGGTAAGACCGGTTCTCACAGATTATTAGAGATGGGTTGATCGGGATATCAGAATTAGCCAGTAAGGGCTAGGGCAGAAGGGCCAAGCAGTGCTTAAAAGAATACAGTGTCTGTGTAATTATTTTGGGGCATAAGCTAGCCAAGCAGGCGGCCGGGGTGCTGGGAACGCAGCCCCGCCGCCCCTATTACTTCACACGCACACACACAGAGACAGAGAGACAGAGACAGAGAGACAGAGAGAATATATGCTCCTTCCATGGGCCAGAAGCTGTTAAGATTTGTAGGACAGCCGGAAGTCCCCATCAAGTCCACACAGAGCTTTGAGCTTCAGCCCACTCCCTATGGGTCTCCCGCCGTGCCCCCCGCCCCCCGCCCACTGTCTAAGATATAAGCTAGCTTTGCCCCCCTCCCTCTTCTGTACCTGGTTGTCAATCTTGATCTCTGTCAAGGTGTCATTCTCCCGCAGGGCTTCTACCAGGGCCAGGATCCCAGTTCCCGTGATGAAATTGGATTCTACGTTTAGACTTTTTAAGGTCTTGTTGACTTTCAGCATATCTGCAAAAGCCTGAGTGTCCAGAAACAGTTGTTAGGGTTTCTAATGATTGGCTTTATGAACATCTCTCTCTTGAATAAAAATAATTAGTTTCATAGAACTTAAAGAAAACCTTTGTTAAGTCATATTTTCATCTCCAAGAAAAATTAAAATTTAGAGCTGCAACTAAAAATTAAAATAACTCCAGGTGGTGGCAGTGTACACCTTTAATCCCAGCACTTTGAAGGCAAAGACAGGCAGATCTCTGTGAGTTCGAGACCAGTCTGGTCTACAGAGTGAATTCCAGGACAGCCATGGCTACACAGGGAAACCCTGCCTCAGTGGTTACGAGAGCTGGCTGCTCCTCTGGAGGACCTGGATTTGATTTCCAGCACCCACATGGTGTGTGTGAGTCTATCTTTTCTCTCATTTTTAATTGTTTATTTTTATATGTATGTGTGTTTGTCTACATGTAAGTCTGTGTACCATGTGTGTGCTTGAGTCAGTGGAGACCAAAAGAGGGTGTTGCATCACTTGAAACTGGAGTTACAGACAGCTGAGAGCACCATGTGGGTGCTGGGAACAAAACCTCTGGAAGAGCAGCCAGTTCTCGTGTGTGTGTGTGTGTGTGTGTGTGTGTGTGTGTGTGTGGAGACAGACTCTCAGGTAGTCTGGGCTGGCCTTGATCTTGCTGTATAATTGAGGTTAGACATAAAGTGCTGATATTCCTGTGTCCATCTCTCAAGAGCTGAGACTACATACTCACTAAAGGAACACATTTATTTATTTATTTGTTTGTTTATTATCTATCTATCTATCTATCTATCTATCTATCTATCTATCTTACAGTGTTCAGCCTCCATGTATGCCTGCACACCAGAAGAAGGCACCAGATCTCATTATAGATATTGTGAGCCACCATGTGGATGCTGGGAATTGAACGCAGGTACTTTGGAAGAGCAGCCAGTGCTCTTAAGCTCTGAGTCATCTTTCCAGCCTCTAAATGAATACATTTTAATACTTGTTTAAAGTGTTTCAGTACAAAGAAAAAATTTAAAATATACATATAATTTATGTATATGGAGAGATGGTTCAGAGGACTTGCTACTCAATCATGAAAACATGTCCAGATCCCAGCATTGAGAGGCTCACAAACACCTCTAAGTCCAGCTCTAAGGCATCTAAAGCCCTCTTCTGCCCTCCATGGGTACCCACACTCATGTGTGTTTACGCTTACCTAGACACATACATGCAGATGCGCAGAGACACACGCATATATAGATAACATCTAAACGAATTGAAATATAAATATACATTGAAGTAATTTTGGCGGCACCCAGATGAACTGAGTCAGGACCTCTAAGGCTGTGGGCTGGCTTTCTGCTCCTCCAGTGAGTAAAAAGCTGATTGGCAGCCACTTAATTAAAGTCATAAAAACAACAAGTAGAAGGATGAGAAACAAATTGCTAAGAGTGATTGCTTCTGGGGAGTAGACTAAGGGAGTTCTAAACTCTTTTAATTATCTTAATGGCAGCTAGGATGGGAAGAACGGTGACGGAATGCCACATGAAGTGGAGTTTCTCAACCTTGGCATGGCTAAGATCCGGGCTGGAGAATTCTTTGCTATGGGTGTCCTGTGAGCTGCAGGCTGGTTAACAGCCTCTCCGGCTTCTGAGACCTAAGACCAGCAGTACTGTCCTCAACACAACAACCCCAACCATCTCCTGCCACCGCTGCCAGTGTGCCCTGGGAGAAAGGCAGCTCCTGAGCTGAGAATCACCAGGACAGGACAAAATCCTGTGCACTGACAGTTGTTTGAACTGGAAGCCCAGGGATATGAGCTAATGGAATGGCATGGTATATACTCATGCAATGTAAGGTACACTTATTCAATTCTCTCTCCCTCTCTCTCTCTGTATGTGTGTGTGTTTGTGTGTGTTTTGATTTTGATTTATCTAGATAGGGTTTCCCTGTGTAACTCTGGCTGTCCTAGAACTTATTCTGTAGACCTAGGTGGCCTTGAACTCAGAGATCTGCCTGCCGCTCCTTCCCAAATGATTGGATTAGAGGCTCGCACCACCACACCCAGCCTACTACTTGGTCTTAAAATTAAACGTCTGCATTTTAATCAGAGCATGAGAGGGGAGTTTGGAAAGTCTTTCCCTACAGGACACACCAAGCTTTGGCATTAACTTTCAGTTCCAGAATAATAAAATGCCAGAGCAATTAGTTCTTTACAAAAACTTGCAGAACCTCCTGGCAGGCAGCCGAGATCATGCTGTTTTATCCTTTATCTTAAACTTGAGAAAATACTTTTTCTCCAACTGAACCAAATGAAGCACGCACAGCCAAACATAACTTGGGGTTATTATACCCAAGTTCAATTCAGTTCAGCAAATATCTGAGCATCTATTTCATGCGATGGGATAACAATGTCAGGAAAACATAGACATGATTTCTTAAATGTTATATAAATAGAGTAGAAGTACATGTCTCAAAAAAAGATTTGCTTTCTGTACTTTATGGGATTATACAAAAACATACTTTCCTGGGGCTGGAAAGATGGCTCAGCAGTTCGGAGGACATGCTGCTCTTGGTGAGGACCCAAGTTCAGTTCCCAGTACCCACAGCAGGCTGCTTACAGCCACCACTAACTCTTGCTCAAGAGTCCAGATACCCTCCTCTGGACTTCTCGATCTCTCTCTCTCACACACACACAATTTAATTAAAAATTAAAATAAGTCTTTTAGTCTTTTAAATCTAACGGAAACCAGAATACATAGCTTCTCTGCTGAGCAAATGTAGCCACAAGAAGTACAGCTACTAACCCTTTGAAGAATTGCTAGCTTGAACGGATGTGCTATAAATGTTTGAAATCTACACTGTGGATTTCAAAGATGAAATCTGAATAAAAGAATATGGGAACCGTCAGTATAGTTCTAAATTATATCTATATACCTACACATCTCTCTATATATATGTTTATATTTTTTAACATTTATTTTTATTTTATGCATATGAGTGTTTGGCCCGGAAGCATGTCTGTGCACCATATGCATGAGGTACCCGAGGATGCCAGATCCCCTAGAGTCACAAGGGCTTGTGAGCTGTCTGAAGTGGGTACTTTGAATCGATGCAGGTCCTCTGGAAAAGCCGCAAGCACGTGTAACTGCTGAGCCATCATCACGTGGGGACAACTTCGTTTTTCTAGTTTGACTTAAGAGCTGATGTCGTAGACTCTCAGGCTGAGCCCCAGAACCCCTATCAATAACAAATTGTCGCCCATGAGTCCCAACAGGACTGTGTGTGTAAATGTAGCAGAGAGGAGCCAGGAAGACCTGGTGGTGACTCTCGGCTCTGTCATCCCTTGCTATACCTGGGATAATCTACCCTCTCTTTTGTTACAGTGGGAACTAACAACAGCACATATTTGAGCTCTACAGTGATGACTGGGTGAGGCAATGCATGCAAAGCTGAGCGATCAGGAAAGCAGACAAGAGGAACAACAGTGAAGGGATGGCAACACCGGCATTTATTTGGGCAAAAGCTTCCCTGTTTGGATGAATGCACAAAATGCATAAAAGGGCATAGAATGCATAAAAGGGCTAGGAGTTTGGTTATGTTCCTTCCCATATTTTAATTAACCGAATGTCAAACAAAATGGGTCAGTATTTTGGATGTTTATAGTATGCTTGGAAAATTAATGCAATAAAGATTAAGATAAAAGACACTCCAACATTTTTTTTTCATCTGTGCCAAGCTCAAGTGGGCTGTGGGGGCCATAACATCCAATGACTGCTACAGAAAGCTACTGTAGAAGCAAAAGTTGCAGAATGGTTTTTCTCAACACAGAAAAACTCTAAACATTTATTTAGCCAAATGCCAAGATGCTTGTCTCGTTTCTTTTTTGGAATGTGCGGCGCTGACAAGAATCCAGTTAATTCAATATGCCTGCAGTGCACAGCCCCTGAGCCTGGGCCTCAGAACTGGAAGTTCGTTAGACTTAGTCGACCAGATTTAAGACTTTCTTTTTTTATGTATGTAAATTTAATCATTCCTGGTGTCTTTCAATTGATAAAATAAGTTCAAAAGAATCTCTGAGAGCCAGAGATGGCGATTTCATGCCTAAATCTCAGCATAGGCAAGCTGAGGCAGGGGGATTCCTGGGAATTCAAGGCCAGTCCAAGATACATAGTGAGTTGAAACCCAGGCCACATAGCAGACCCTCTCTCAGGACAACTAAACACAAAGTTGGCTAATTTTAAACAATAAGACAAAAAAAAAAAACCCTAAAAATAGAGTCTCCAGCAAATGACTTCATATTGTGTTTCAAGTCTTACTTACAAGGGCCACGGGGTCATTGCTGCGGGTTGCAGCCAGGCTGAACTTCTTCACATGGGTGTTGGTCTCCAGAGCCTTGGCAAATTCCTTCAGGGTTGGGATTGGAATGTTCTACAGCGCAGAAGACAGGGCTAGTTACAGACCACTCACGGCCACTCACCCTCTGCTGGAAAATAGTTTTTCCATTTTTGATTGGACCCAGAGTCTCACATGTGCTAAGCATGTGCTCTGGGCTCCACTGTCAGCAAGACCCCTGTAACTTTAACTATCACCTTTATTTAGATGGCTGATTTCATATCCTCTCTCAAAGTTCGCCCAAGTGTGCTAAGCAATTCTGGGTGAATAGCGCCTCCTAGTGTTCAGTGCAGGAATGTAACTCAAAAGAGTTTTCATCTAGGATAGGTTAACAACTGAGGTCTCTCACATACATATCCTTAGATATGCTTTTCTCCTTGGCCCGAAAACTCCTGCTGCCTTTCCCTCCAATTGTCTACTCATCTCTGAAGACTCGGCTGAATTACTTCCTCTTTTGTTTATGAGTTCTCCTAGGCAACTCCAAACTTTTCCTGTCCTACAATTCCGTAACATTTTGGGGCTTACCACATCATGCTGCCAACATCTGGTTAGCGTTTTTCTCCTACCGTAACTTTTGTCAGTAAAGACAGAACGGATCCTAACTGGGTCTCCTGGAACCTAGGCTGGCTTCAGTCTGGCCTCAGTTTCACTATGTGGTCAAAGCTCCCTTGAACTCATGGCAATTCCCCTGCTTCTTTTTTTTTTTTTCTCAAGAATCAGTTTAAAGTTCTCCAGGAAGAAAACAGATCTTTGTTTAACATGACTTGGTTAACTGAGCAAAATCTAGAAAAGGTACAGGCTGATGTTAAGGAGAAATTCATTCCCCTGCTTCTACTCTGACAAGGTGGCATCTCTACAAAGTGAGGCCTCTTGCCTACAACATGGACATGCTATGTTGGAAGTGGATCCTTTGGATAAACGCTGTGAGCAACCACATTTGTTTGTAATCCATTTCCTTTCCTTTTTTTAGATTTATTAATCGTACTTTATGAGTGTTTCGCACGCATATTTGGATGTGTGCCTGCACACAGATCACAGAGCAAGGACTGAACTCTGCGGAAGTATGCAGCAGACAGCAAGGGGGCAGCCACAGACATGCACCTGGCTGCATTATGGACAAGCTGAGTGACTATGGTAACTTAATCTCTCCAAGTCTCACTGAAGATTACTGAGATGAGGGATAGCCAAGGATATAACACAGTGTACACTCCATAAAGACAGTATTACTGGGGCTGGAGAGATGGGTCAGTTGGGAAGAAGAGCACTTGCTGTTCTTGCAGAGGACCTGAGTTCAGTTCCCAGCATCCATGTTGGGTGGCTCACAACTGCCTGTAATCCCAGCTCCAGGGGATCCATTTGCTCCCTTCTGGCCTTCACAGGTGACTTCACTATGTGCACATACCCACATACAGACATCTATACACAGTTAAAAATAACTCCTTAGAAGCAGTATTAGATGATAGGGATCAGGCCAATAAAAACGAACAAAACAAGCCAGGTTGGTGGTACATGTCTGGAATATCATCTTTAGGGAGGTGGAGGCAGGAGGATGGAGAATTTGAGATCAGCCTGGGTTACACAGTAAGTTTAAACAGTTTAAGGCTAGTCTTGGCATGACAGTGAAACCTTGTCTCAAACTAGCCAACCAGCCAACCAATCAACAGAAGAGAATGAATATAACAGGCCTTAGGCAATCCGTATTTGTTCAGGCTCCTCCCCGCTCCCCATCTCTCCTTCCCTTCAATAGCAGCTGAACTCAAACATGGTCCACGAACGAAGCTGTGTGACTAGGTTTCTAACCAGACTGCGAGAAAACGCTAAGCAAACAAGACAAGAGCCTTGTAATCTCTGCTCCTCCATAACATGGGGGGTTCTCGGAATGGGCTTTCGCGCCCCTCCCAGGTGGAGGGCAAAGGCGGGAGTTTACTCCAGATGACTCATCACAACTGGCAACTGGGATTTGTTTATATGCCCCTATAGAAAAAAAAAACGATGTTTTTGCCACATGTGGCTTGTCCTTGTGATTGTACATTTTACTCAGGTGACTCTTAACCCTCAAAGTATAAATTGTCTTAGGCTCTGAATAAAGTTGGCTATTGCATGAGACTTTAGTGCGGCTCATGTTTAGGCCCCACCCTCCCAGAGGTTCACACTGCCATCTAGAGTGGCAACAGCAAGACTTGTCATCGAAAAGAATAAGATGGAAATGACAATCTGTCTGTGAATTCAGACACCAGGTCATGGAAAACACTGTTATATGTTTCTTGCTATTTAAAAAAAAAATGTTTTAGTCGTGTGTGTGTGTGTGTGTGTGTGTGTGTACATTTAAGTATATGGACCCACAGAGGCCAGCAGTGTTAGATCCCCTGCATCTGGAGTTATGGTGGTTGTAAGGCACTTGATGTATATACAGGGAGCTGAAGGTAGGTACTCTGCAAGAGATGCAATTGATTCTAGCCACTGAGTCTTTAGCGCAGTCTGGCCTCTTGCTCTCTTTCACTCTGGGGTCAACTTTCTTTGGGGAAAATCAGATGTGGTTGTGTGAGGACACTCAAGTAGCCCTAAGGAGAGGCCCGCATGGTGGGAAAGTGAGGTCCCTTGCCCATAGCCACATGGGTGTGCCATCTTACAAATGAATCCTTTGATAACTTTAGCCTGGACTGGCAGCTTCACTGTGGTCTCATGTGAATGCCTGTGCCAACGACCCTTCTAAATGATTCTTGTATGCCTGACATTTGAAACTATGGAAAGGGGCTGGGGTTACCTAAGTGGCTGTAGCACACATATGAAGCCTTGGGTTTGACACCTAGCACTGAAAATAAAAAGCTGAATTTGTTGCTCAGCAGCAGACACGATGTGCTTATTTGGTCCAGGTACTAGGATTCTCTTGAGCAGGTTCTAGAAATCATTCTTCTTGTAGACCCATGCCTTTTGACTGGGTTACTCTGTGTGAAGTCAGTGACTTGGAAGGACTGAAAGGCAGTGTAAGAGCAGGCAGTCGACCATCTCCAGCCAGCCCTGTGATGCCAGGAGAAGCCAAGAGGTTACAGCAGTGATGTACCTTGATGTTGTTGAGGTTGACCTCTTGCAGGTTGGGGTCGTTGGCCTTCATCTGCTGCAGACTTGCTTCCACATTTGTGGGGTTCGGTGGCTCCTCAAATACTGGTTTGGCTTTTTCACCTTTGACAACATCTACAACACAAGTTTTAATTTATAAAAGATAGTGGAAAAGGCCCTCTATCAAACTAGCAATGACTTTTCTAGAAAGCGCCATTCTTTCACATAGAGTCTAAGATTCCAATATCAATGATATATCGAAGGCTGATTCTTACTGAGCAGGCACAGTGGTACTTCTCTGGGCAAGTCTGCAAGGAAGATGCTTTTCAGCCCCCTGAGGGGACTCAGTGGCTGACACTACAGAAGGCCCTGGAGCAAACTCCAACCCTCAAGGCATCCGCTGCAGTTACTGATGCACCACACAGACCTCCCCACACCATCTTCACCAGACCACAGGCTCTGAGATGCAAAAATGGGCACCACGAGGAGTCTCTTCATTCCCCAAACCCCTTTTCAAAATTCTGTGTGATGCTGAGACTCGAACCCAGGACCAGCTCAAAGCAAATGTTCTACTACTGAACTACACCTCTATCCCCAGCTCCCAAATGTTAATTCCCCTCTGGCTTCCTTATCACTGCTCTCCTCCAATCTCCATTTTGCAGCTTTAGCTTTGGGAAAGGCCTGGAAAGACCAAGGAATGGAAAAGAAGGATGAGAAACACTTGAAAAGCAACTGTTGTGGGCTGGAGATGGCTCAGCAGTTCAGAGCACTTGCTGCTCTTGCCGAAGGCTAGAGTTCAGTTCCCATCACCTGCACGGTGGTTCACAGACTTCAGCAAGTCCAGTTCCAGGGATCTGAAACCCTCTTCTGACTTCCCTGGGCAACGGATATACGTGTGCACGTGTATGTATGTGTGTGTGTGTGTGTGTGTAAACAAAATTCATATATTCACCTATATTCATAAAAATAAGTGACAAATAAATAAATTACTCGAGCCAAATATAGCCAGGACATGCCTGTAATACTAGAATTTGGGAAACTGAGGCAGGAGGATCAGGAGTTTGAGGCCAGCCTGAACAGTGAATTTCAGGCCTGTTTCAAAACAAACAAAAACCAAACAACGACACACACCAATTTATCAGAAAATATTTAGAATGCATATAACATACAAAGGATTAATATTCTAATGTACAGAGAGCTCCCCCATCTTACCCTAAGACAAGGCTTCTCTGTGTGTAGCCCTGACTATCCTGGCACTCAATCTGTAGTCCAGGCTGGCCTCAAACTCAGAGATCTGCCTGCCCCTACCTACTGAGTACTGGGATTAAAGGCCAGGGTATCCTTCATGCTTTCTGGGGAAAGTAGGTATTTGGAGTCCAACGGCCAGCATCCATTACCAAGACCAAAATACATTGGAATAAAAAAGGGAACGTAGTCAAGTTTCCCTCACTGATTAAAATATCCTTTGGAACATGGAACTCTATTTGCATTCCTAGTCGACTCTTCAAACTTACTGGGATCTCTTCCCCCCTTCCTGGACAACCTGCCTGCCACGAAATGTGTGCTCTGTGGCCCTAGCCACACTGCCAGGCTGAGCGCCCACCATCAGCTTCTCCACTGGGTTTGACTGCTCAGAGCCCAATGATTCCTTCTAGAAGCAATGGGTCTCCCTCCTATAGGCACTAGACAGAGGCCCTGAAGCTTCCCAAGTTCCCAGATTCCTCATCAACTTACTCCTTACAGGCCCCTTGTGGCCTTTGCCATTGGTTGTTTCTTCATCAAACTTGGGATTGTTGAGCAAATTGTGGACTCCAAGGACAGCTGAAAACACAGGCAACAAAAACAAGCACTAAGTTTTGGAATACACACCAGGATGGCTACACATTAACTTCCACCTTGAAGAGCAATTCTTGATAAAGCACAAAGTCTCCCAGGTTCCCTCTCCTGGTACAGTGTGTGGTGTGTGTACCGCATTCAATAAAGTTACTGCTAAAATCTCCCAAGACCATCAGCATCTCTACATGTCCCTGTGTGTTTAAAGGTGCAGGATCCTCTGGGATCTGAGAACCCACTCTGCAGCCACATCTTCCAACCACGGAAACATCACTAGGCCCCTATTCTGGCTAGTCTTAACTGTCAATCTGAGACAACCTAGAGTCATCTGGAAAGAGTCTTAATAAGGAATTATTGCAGTTACACTGGCTGCTGGTCAAGTCTCCGGGGGTTGTCCTGACCATCAGTGATGTAGAAAGATCTAGGCCACTGCGAGCACTACCACTTCACAGGCTGGGCCCTGAACTGTGTAAGAGAGAAGAAAGCCAGCTGCACAGAAGCAGCGGAGTCTATGTGTTTAGTTCTCTCTGCTCCTGACTGTGGCTGTCGTGTGACTCGGGGCTCACCTTTCCCTCAGTGATGGACTGTACCCTGGAAATGTAAGTCAAATAAATCCTTTCTCCCCTCACTGAACTGCTTTTGATCTGGGCGTTTTGTCGTATCAAAATAAAATTAGAACATTCCCTTAGTTAAGAAGACTCAATATTTTGCCAGGTTTTGTTTTTGTTTCTGTTGTTGTTGTTGTTATTTTGTTTCCAGGCTCTTGCCTTATTGCCCTGGATAACCTGGAACTCACGTGTAGGCTAGGCTGTCCTCAAACCCAATGTGATCCTCCTGTGTTCCCAAATGCTGGGATTATGGGTAGGTACCACCATACCCACCTCCATTGCTGGGATTATGGGTAGGTACCACCATGCCAACCTCCATTGCTGGGATTATGGGTAGGTACCACCATACCCACCTCCATTGCTGGGATTATGGGTAGGTACCACCATACCCACCTCCATTGCTGGGATTATGGGTAGGTACCATCATACCCACCTCCATTTAGTGTTCTTATCTGTAAATTAAAACAAGGTGAGATTCAACTAAGGATTTTGTTTTGTTTGAAGTCTCACTATGTAACCCAATCTAGCCTGGAACTCTCACATAGACCAGGCTGGCCTTGCCCTGGCAGTAGTCCTCCTGCTTCTGCCTCCTGAGTGTTGAGTGTTGAGATCAACACTGTACCAACAAGCCTGACTACGTTTAAGGATTTTAAAGATCTAACGTGTGCAGATTTATGCTGCCCCCTCCCCTGACCCCAGAGGCAGAAGCAGAAAGATTGTGGTCCTCTTTCAGTAGAAAGGCAGTTGTTCTTTCTCTGCCTCGGGAAAGAAGAGGAGGGTTATCAGGAACAAAGAAGGTCCTCAGTCCCGGGTGCTATACTGGAACTGACACCAGGAGGGAGGCCGGCATTCAGGGAGCCACACTATGGGCAGGGTAGTGCTGGGCAGGTTGAAACCGATTTCCCTTCTAGTGAAATCACAAGCACAAGCCTGAGATCCTGACTGGACTTTCGAAGGGAGTCAGTTAACATGGTAGAAAGAAGGGCCAGTGGTTAAGCCAGCAAGAGTGGGGTTAGAGGCAGGAGTGTGATAACACACATCACACTTGAGACGCGAAAGGATTCCAGGAGGTCAGTGAGGGGCCATATAGAGAGTTCAAGATTCGAGGCCAGCCTGGAAAGCCTACACTACACAGTGAGACCCTGTTCTGAAAAAACAAGGGCTGGGGCTATAGCTCAGTAGTAGAGCACCTGTCTTGCATGCCCAAGGCCTTGGGTGGGTTCAATCCTCTGCACTGCAAACAGAATAGAACAACAACGATCATGGAATTTGTGTGTGTGTGTGTGTGTGTGTGTGTGTGTGTGTGTGTGTGTGTATGTGGAGGGGGGGAGGCTGGAGCACACAGAGTTTGAACCCTGACTGCCACACCCTAACTGTGTGATGGGGAAGTCACTGAATGCCCACGGAGTCTGCCTCCTCATTAACCCCAAATTAACTGATTGTTAAGTTGATTAATGGCTAGGTGAGCAAAGCACACTCCTGGCTTTCTGTGAGCATGTCTCCTGAGTAGATTCACTGAGGGGAGAAGCCTTGCTCTGAATGTGCCCGGCTCCACCGCGTGAGGGGAAGAAAGGAGAAAAAGAAGAGCCATTGCCCCGCCTTCCACACCGGCACAAGCAATGCTTCCACCCTGCTTATCTCTCCCGCAGGGCCTTCCTTCCACTCACAGGCTGTTTTCACTCTTCTAGAAATATCCACCAGAGAGAAGAGGCTGCATGTTTTCCATCTCCAGAGAAGGCTTGCCACTGAGTTCTTAGGGAGTGTCTGATGGGGAGGGGGAGCTGAGTCAGGAGAAACAAAGCCGTTTCTATTTGCGTTATCTCCCTGGATTTATGATGTGGATTCCAGGCTCAGGCATCTTCAGAACGATGGCTTTTTCTTTCTCCTTTCTCAGGTGTTTCCTGAGATTCAAGTCCCACCCTGCATTCCTTCTTTGGGCAATTCCAGTAAAGCCTGTGAGACAACCCTTGGGAAAAGCAGTAGCTATGGAAGGATCTCTCCACAGTTACCACAGGCCCAAGATGCCCAGTCACTACAAAATGCCTTCCTCAGCAGGTGACTCACACGCTCCAGAGACCTCCGACAGATGTATGGACATGTCAACCTGATGTCACCTACTGATATCATCAGAGATGGATGGAAATGTGTGGAGACGGCAGCCACACTAGAATAAGACAGAGCAGGAAAGAGATCTCTACATACGTCTTCTAGGGGAGTAGGAGTCAGCATTCTGGGGTTAGGGAGCATTTCTACATACGTCTTCTAGGGGAGTAAGAGTCAGCATTCTGGGGTTAGGGAGCATTTCTACATACGTCTTCTAGGGGAGTAAGAGTCAGCATTCTGGGGTTAGGGAGCATTTCTACATACGTCTTCTAGGGGAATAAGAGTCAGCATTCTGGGGTTAGGGAGCATCTCTACATACGTCTTCTAGGGGAGTAAGAGTCAGCATTCTGGGGTTAGGGAGCATTTCTACATACGTCTTCTAGGGGAGTAAGAGTCAGCATTCTGGGGTTAGGGAGCATTTCTACATACGTCTTCTAGGGGAATAAGAGTCAGCATTCTGGGGTTAGGGAGCATTTCTACATACGTCTTCTAGGGGAGTAAGAGTCAGCATTCTGGGGTTAGGGAGCATTTCTACATACGTCTTCTAGGGGAGTAAGAGTCAGCATTCTGGGGTTAGGAAGCAGCTAAACTGATAAGCAACTTCACTTGAAAGCACAAGGACTTGGCTTAAAAGCCCAGAACTTCTGTAAGAAACAGGAGCATATCAGGTGTGGGGGCGTGCACCTGTGATCCCCATGCTGGGGACGTAGAGTCAGGCAGGGCTTTGGGCTCAACAAGTTAAGGCCCTTGCCACCCTACAATGCAGCTGGATGGCCTGAGTTTGAACCCACATAAGGGAGAAAGAGGGAAGCAGCTCCGTGAAGCCGTCCTCTGAACGACAACGCACATACTGAGATTAGCTGTGACTCTTCATCCTCCTGCCTCCACTTCCTGAGCGTTGGGATTAAGAACACACACCACACCTAGCTCTCATTTTCTCTTAAAGTCATAGTCTCGCTCTGTAGCCCATGCTGCTCTAGAAAGGAACTATGTTGCTCACCCATCCACACCACACAGGAGTTTTGTTTCGTTTTGAGAAAGGACTTAATCTGAAGGAGAGACTTGCTTTTCATTTCTTTTGTATTATTTGAGCTTGTTATGTCTACATGGTAGTCTGAATGCTAACGGTCACCACGGACTCCTATGTTTGCATACTCGGTCCTGAGTTGGTGGAACTGTTCAGGAAGGATTAGGAGGTGTGGCCTTGTCAGAAAAGGTGTGTACTGGGGTAGGCTTTGAGGTTTCAAAAGACACATTCCCAGTGTGCAGACTCTCTGCTTCCTGCTTTTGGGTCCAGATGTGAGTATTCAGTTGCTCCTGCTGAACATGTCTTTGCTTCACCTCTATAGACTCCAACCTTCTGAAACCAAAAGCTCAAGGAAATACTTTCCTTTAGAAGTTGCCTTGGTCATGATGTTTCCACGGCAACAGGAAAGTAACTGAGGCGATCCGCATGTAAAATCAGTTAAAATAACAACCCTGTTATCATCGTCTTGTTTCGGTTTGTTAAGGAAACTAGAAGGCTAGATGACCAACCTCCACAAATCAGCTTATAATGGCAATGGTGAGGGAGACCAAGAACGCCACAGAAATGTGACCAAAAGGCTACAAAAGGTGGTGGCACACACCTTTAATCCTGGCACTCAGGAGGCAGAGGCAGAGGCAGGCGGATCCCTGAGTTTGAGGCCAATTTGGTCTATAGAGCAAGTTCTAGGACAGTCAGGGCTACACAGAGCAACACTATTTCAAAAAAACAAAAAACACTGAACAAAAAGAAACGTGACCATAAAATGTGTGAATCCCACAAGTTCATTTTAATGTGGAAGTTTCTGGGAAAGCATATGGGGGATATTATTTCATTAATTTTTAATATTCTATGTAGGTCAGGCTGGGCTCAAACTCAAAATAATCCTCCTGTCTCAGCCTTTAGAGCGCTAGTGCTACCATTTCAGGCATCGGTCGCCATACCTTGCTTGCAATTTTATTTCTTTTAAGCTCTCAATATTATTCCATATCTGTTCTCTTTCTATTTTCACAGGAGTTTTGTAGGATGGGCACCATCTGAACAACAGAATGGGTTAAAACATGGCTCGCTCAGCCACAGGATCCAGTCTCAATAAAATTGGCTGCTGCTACCCTGGCAGCACCCTACTCACTGGCTACCAGAAGCTCTGAGGTTTGCACCAGGGGAGTGAGTGCAAGCCTGAAGATCACCAGCCGGCCAGAGAACTAACCTGCAAGATCGTAGAGTTCAGTGTCAGAGGCGCTGGCCAAGGCTTCTTCCAGCTCTGGGTCCAGAGTCACTTTTTCTTCTTTCGGAGCTTCTACAGGCTTTTCTTTGGGGACAAACACTCTCCCTTTAAATCAGAATGAAAACAAAGATGACCGTGCTACACTGCCTTATGGGTAAGGCGCCAGACTGAACAGAAGACGCACCGCTGTCATGAAAGACACGAATCACTGAGCTGTTTTATCCTTTGAGGTCCCTGGTCCTGCTTCTTACCTCACTGGGCTCCCCTGGGCTACACTCGTTTCAGCAATCAAGCTTCTTTCTAATGGCGATAGTACCGTCAACTTGACAGGGTCTAGGGAAGGCAAGGCTCCGGGCATGTTTACGAGGGAGTTTCTAGACTGGGCTAATAGGGGAGACCCACCCTGGATGTGGGTGGCTCCAGTCCATAGGCTGCGATCCTGGAAAAGGAGAATTCACACTGAGCGCTAGCATCGTCTCTCGGACTCCGGCCCGTGGATGTGAAGCGAGCCTGCCTCCGTCTTGGGCTTCTGCTGTCCTGCCCTCCCTGCCACAGTGGGCTGCACTCTGGAGCTGTGAGTCTAAACAGACCCATCATTCCTTACGTGCTTTTGTCAGAGCAGGACAGTCACTGCTCCACTAGCCATCTCCCAAGCTACAGGGTGCGGCCGTGTTGTATCTTTTAAACTCAGAATGCTCTAGCCTTCTTTCGTCACAAGCCTCCTCCAGATGAACCTGGATCCGGGGGTAATTTGCCAAAGCCACTCCTCTCCTCAGAGAAGAAATGACAAAAGCATTCCCCTTAGTATTCTGTCATTATCTAACATACGATGGGATTTTACTGAAGGTTTTTTTTTTTTTTTAGTTTAAGCTTGTCACCATCTGGTAAGTCCAACAGCAACTGTGTTACCATAGAAACATCTCATACTCCATAGTAACCCACTGATCAGCTCTACGTTCTTAATTGCCTTCTCAGTATCATCAGATGTGTACAGCACAGAGGGGCGACAGGGATGGCTCGTGCTCAGTGCTCTGTTTTCCTTGCCACCGAGTACAGGCTTAAAGACCGCTGCCCTTCACCGGAGCTCAGAGGAAGGAGTACCGCCACCAGGTCACCCGGCTCTACTGCGTGTTCTCAAACTGATACAGAGACCACACAACAGCCAAAGTACACAGCAAAGTGATGAACATGGTCACAGAGCTGCGGAAGCAACGCCCAGGGGCCATGGTCAGCAAGAGGGGTGAATACAGAGAGGGCTCTGGGGAATCTGAGACCCTAGCATTTAAGCTGAGAGCTTCATGGTTTTTTAAAACATAATGGGGATATGGGTCAGAGAAAAGAGCAGATGAGAAAATTACCTTGAGTGGGACAAATCTGGGAACATGAGCAATGACACAGGCTGAGACTCAGCAAGGAAAGGAGAACTGTAGCCAAGAGCTAGTGGAGGCTAGACCCATGCTGAGGTTGCAGCAGGAAGTTGGGACATTGTGTAGGAAGCATGCCTGAAATTCCAGCATTGGAGGGAGATGAAGTCCGGAACAGAAGGAATTAACAGGCTATTTAGGCAGGAGAGGTGGGGAGGGAAGGGACAAGGGGGAACAGGAAAGGGAAAGTAAGGGAATGGAGGGAAGGGGAGGGAAAGAGAGGAGGAGAGAAGAGGGAAGAGGGGGAGAGGTTCTAGCATGGGCTTGCTCCTCACAGCCATCCCAGTTACATCTCGCTGTTTCTTTTACTAGATGACAAGCATTTGAGGGCAGAACAAAGTCTTATATACCTGTGGGTCCAGGGTCTGCCATAGAGTTCTGTACTGGGGATAGCAAATGCAAGATGAATGGATGACAGACGGGCTTGTCATCACAGCATGAAGTTAGGGAGTCAGGCTAGAAGCTCTCTAGACAGAGCAGAAAGGCCTTGCCGAGATGCCCGCAGCTGAGACCCAAAAGGCTGAGGGAAACACACCATTGCCTGTGCATCTATTTCGGGTAGGGTGCCGCTTTACATTTTCAAAGCTTTGTCTTGAGACTTTGAAAAATTTTTTTTTTGTGACAAAATTAGTTTCAGAACCATTACATCCCATGTATTCATTTAATTCATCACATATCCGGCCATGCTTTCTTTTTTCCTTTTAAACTAATAAACTTTAATTTCGAGAAGTGCTTTAGGTTCATATCCAAATTAATCAGAAAATTCTCATATATCACTCCCCCACACTGACCTCCCCACTAACATCCCACACTATAGTGGGCGCATGTGTGACAACCAATGAACCCATAAAGCCCCACCGTCATCACCCGTGAGCTGTGATCTACCTTAGGGTTCACTCTGGGTGCTGCATCTACCAGCCACAGTCCTCTGCAATCCCATGTGTAGTCCGTAGGCTTATTTCCTCTTCCCAGGTCAGCTCCTTTGGTTGATGCCCTATAATATGTTAAGGGCACCTTGTCCCAAGAGGTGCAGTCTGCGGCCCTTACCTTTCTTTTCTCCTGTGAAGGGCACAAAGTCCTCCCTGTCCTTCTGCTCCAGCGCCTCCTTCTCCAAGTACATGAGGAGGTGCTCTCGGTCAAATGGGCCAGTGGCTGCTTTCTGGGTCTGGTCTTTCTGTCGGAATCCAGCCGGTAGCATCGCACTCTGACAAGACAGATACGAGATGAAGGGAAGACACGTGCTGGACCGAGTTTGCTATTTCTTTACTCTTTTGGACTTGCTGTACGTGGAAAAGTGGTGGTGGTGGGGCGCACGTATACTGGCTGAGGGCTGGGGTCTCTAGGATGGTTCTAGGGATGTGTTATTCTGACCTCCTTTGCAAAGGGAGGAAACCCAACCAGCTCAAGGGACATAGTGACAGGGGCAGCAGCCTCTGGACCTTCTGACCTTCTGCAGCTGTCTTCTAGAATGTGGAGGGAGAAGGTCTTTTTGTGTCCATCACGATTAGGTTTGGTCAGGTATGCACACAAGAGCTCCTAAGTCAGGAGTCTGGATAACTACACTCACTCACTTCTAAACTGTTTCCTCCAGACATAGCTGAGAGGTAAGGAAATACTATGGTGTATGTCGATATTTGCCCGAGTAAGATTCATTTACTTGTCTTTCTGAGACACAGTCTCATGTAGCCCTGGTTGGCCTCAAACTCACTATGTAACTGAGGCTGGCCTTGACTCCTGATCCCCCTGCCTCTGCCTCCTGAGTGCTGGGATGAAGAACATGTATCAACATGCTCAGCTTTTGTTCTAAGTTTTTTGTTTTTCTTTTTTCTTTTTTTGCCCGATAAAGTCTCACCACATAGCATTGGCTGTCCTGGAACTCACTATGTAGACCAGGCTAGCTTTGAATGCCGAGAGATACGTGTGCCTCTACCTCCCAAGTATTGGGATTAAAGGAGCATGTCACTATACCTGGCTTTACTTTCGATTTTTAAGTCAAGATCTCACTTTGTAGCCCATGCTGACTATGTTGCTCAGGCTTGACCCAAATTCACAATCTTCCTCAGCCTCCCAAGTGCTGGGATGATAGACATGTGGCATTATGAACACCTGCTATGATTAAGCCCCAAGTTCCTTCCTTATATGTATAAAAATATTATACTTAAACAAAAAAATTAAATGTTCAAAGTACCTGGTACAGCAGGATGTCAGATAAATAGCTTTATTTACTTACATATTTACAGTTAAGTCACTATTTTGGATGCCTCCAATTTTAAGTTTAAGATAATGTCATCAGGGCTGAAGAAAATACTTGCTAAAGAAACACTATAACAAGATATTGAGCTTTTTAAGAACTGATAAAAATATTAAAAACCTCCCCAAATTCACTTGATGTTATGAGGATAATCATCTACACACTGTCAAAGAATTTCAAGTTATTTGTGTATTTGAACAAAATAATACCAGTTGTGGTAGCACATGCAATCCCAGTACTTTGGAGGTGGAGGGAGAATAATCAGAAATTCAAGGTTATTCCTGCATACATAATGATTATGAGGCCTGCCCCTGCTATTGGAGACCCTGCCTCAAAAAAAGCAAGAAGAGAAAAATATGATATAAAGTCAGGCATGGTATTGCAGGCTTATAGTCAACACATAGGAGGGCAGCTTAGGCTACATACCATGTTCCAGGCCAGCCTTAGCTACACAGTGAGACTCCATCTTACACACACACACACACACACTAAATAAATAAATACATTAATAAATAAATAAATAAATAAATAAATATTAATTCTGGGCTGGTTGTAGCATTACATATATTTAATCCCAGCACTTTAGAGGCAGAGGAGGGTAAATCTCTATGAGTTTGAGACTAGCCTGGGCTACATAGTGAGTTTCAGGCCAGACAAGACCACATAGTGAGATCTGCCTTTAAAAACAAAAGTCTGGGCTGGGTGATGATAGTGCTCGCCTTTAATCCCAGTACTAGGCAGATCTCTGTGCGTTCGAGGCTAACCTGGTCGACAAGAGCTAGTTCCAGGACAGGCCTCAAAGCTACAGAGAAACCCTGTTTCAAAAAACCAAAACAAATAAACAAAACAAAACAAAACAAAAAAACCAAAACCAAAAACAAGTTTGACTAGTATGGTGGCTCATGCCTGTAATTCTAACACTTGTGAAGTTGGGAGATAAAGACAGCGGGGATTCAGGTCATCCTCAGCTAAGCAGTGAGTTTGCAGCCCACCTAGGCTACAAGACCCAGTGTCAACAAACAAAAGAGTCTGGGGCTGTAGTTTAGGTGGTGGAGAGTTTGCTTCACTTTCATAAATCTCTGGGTTAAAGCCCTAACAGGCTGAAATGTCTGTAATCCCAGCACATGGGAGGTGGAGGCAGGAAGATCAGAGGTGTAAGGTCATCCTCAGCTATATAATATACAATATTCCAGGACAGCCTGGACTACATGAGACCCTATCTCACAAAACTAAAACAATGATTAAAAAATAAAAGCAAAGGAAACTACACTACAGAGGTGTTTTCAACAGCACCTGGGACATTTACCAGTGTGGGATCTGTGTGGGTCACCCTTGTACATGTGCCTTCCAATTATGATAAGGATTTAATACCAGTTCCCCCAAGGACTCTTGGGCCCAGCAAAGGATCTGACACTTGGAAAATACTCAGTTTAGTCCTACACTAAATCAGACTGTTCTTTCCCAATGGGAAACACTTTTCAACCTCTATGAACTAATTTTTGAGAAACACACCTGTCATTTCTCACTGTAGTGACCCTGGCCCTGAACCTGTAAAAGAGCATCAGCAGCAATGGGGAAGAACCCAGAATTCTACAGGGGGGCTGCAGGCACTTCGGAGATGGCTGAAGGAGCGCCTGCCCCCTTTTTCCCATGCTCTCTTAAGCGCCCCACTCCAGTTCCATGCCACCAACCTCGGGATCTAGGTCATCCAGAACATTTTCCAACTGTTTCAGCTCCTCCTCTGAGAGCTTGCCAAGAAGCTCATCCTCATCGATGTTCTTGTATTTCTCCAGCTCCTTCTGAAAGGGGAGCGCCATGGCTTCGCAGGTCCACCTTTCTCGTGCACTTGGAAGTGAGCCAGCTTCCCGGGACTTCACACTACCACTGTTAAAAGAGCAACACGGTCATCTCCTTGCTGTAAACTGCAAGATAAGTAATGGATTGTGCTACACTGGTCATGGATTCTACTGCAAAGACAATTCATCTGGAAGGCAGCATTGCCTTCAAATCCAGAGCAGGGCACAGCCCGCGGTATTTTAACACACAGCATTATTTCAACTATGTTTTTCCCTTTAGGGTAGCCCCGTAAGGAAGCCTGCAAGATACCACCATTGGGGGGCTGGGAGGTGGCTCAGAGGCTAACAGCTCTGACTGCTCTTTCAGAGGTCCTGAGTTTAATTCCCAGTAACCATATGGTGGCTTACAACCATCAGTAATGAGATCTGGTGCCCTCTTCTGGCCTACGGGCATACATGCAGGCAGAACACTATACATAATAAATAAATACATCTTTTAAAAAAAAAGATACCACCATTCGATGGATTTTACAGACTGTGACTGAGCTGGAGGTGACAGCAATGGGATGTGTGCTGGCTTCTGGCTCCCAGAGCAGTGAGTGCTTTTCCATTCTACTACGAGGCCTCTCCCCGCTTTCCATTGAAAACCAGGGAAGAACAATGACTAATTGTATGGTGGTTGTAAGCAGCACACTTGTGCCCTTTCAGGGTAGAGAGTGCTGTGAAGGACACAGAATGGGATCCATTCAGGGAAGAGTTCAGAGGACCGGTGTGAGGACACATTGTCCCGTGCAGTGAAACCAAGAGACGTTCTCAAGCCCTGGCCACAGTTGAGAGTAGTTCGTTTCTCTCTCTCTCTCTCTCTCTCTCTCTCTCTCTCTCTCTCTCTCTCCTCTTTTTCCTTCTTCATTAACTTTTTTTTTTTTTTGGTTTTTTCGAGACAGGGTTTCTCTGTAGCTTTGGAGCCTGTCCTGGAACTAGCTCTTGTAGACCAGGCTGGTCTCGAACTCACAGAGACCCGCCTGCCTCTGCCTCCCGAGTGCTGGGATTAAAGGCGTGCGCCACCAAATGATATCTTTGAGAGTACTTTAATAGTATTTTTTTTATTATTATTTGAAAGTCCCCCCTTTTAAATGATGTCTTTTGATGGCATCTGTCCACTACTACAGTCCTCCAGTGCTTTCTAGTGCCCGGTACCCTAATTTCCTCCCAGCTTCATGCCCTCTTTTTATCTTGGTTGTTATAGTTTCTGTAGTCATTCTCCCTAATTTTTCTTTCTTCATACCACCCCAAACATTCTCTCTTAGCCCCCGCAGCCCTCTGAAATGCCTCATTCTTAAACTATCACATCAAAAGCATGTTTTACTCAGTTCCTTGCAGAAAATTCTTCGGACCTTCTCTAGTGAGACAACGCTGCATTCCATCCAGTCTGCCCCTCCAAGACAGTGAGTGTAGCTATGTACCTGCTATTACTGAGGGCAGGGCTAGAGAAGTGCCCCAGGAAGATCATAGCTCAGCGAGACAGCCACACAGTCAGAATGTGGTAAGTGTTACGGTAATGTCTGAAGTAGGTCAAAAAATACTGGGGGGGGGGAGGTTTGAGAGTCACCCAAAAAAGAGATCGTCATTGACCCTTGAAGGAAGAGGCCTAAGGAGGACATGGATGCGCAAGGGCCATCTAGGATAGAGAAAGCATAAGCAGAGACATGGGAGAGGAAAGTTCATGCAGAGTTGGGGTGGTTAGGAGGAGGACTGTGTGTGGAGTGGGAAGTTGGGACATCCGTGAAGGGCTTCTTTACAGGCTACGCTAAGGGACCTGGATCTTACCAGCCCCTGAATTAAGGACCTAGCATAGGGAAAGCATTCTGAACTGTCTGAGCAGGCACAGATTACTCCAACGTACTAAGGCGACGGAAGACGAAGGCAAGTGGCCATGGCAGGGACAGACGGTCAGAACATCGTGATTTCTGACTTTGAAGATGCAGGAAAGGCCATGAGAAGAGGAATCTGGGGTCTCCAAAAGCTGGAAAAGATTAGGACTTTTCCCCTGCAGCCTTTAGAGAGCAGCAAAGTCTGGCTGACACCAATGAGATCATTTGGGTCTCTAACTTCTGTGGCGGCAACACAGTCATTTCTAAGCAACTGAATATGCTCTTTGTCACAGCAACAATACAGACACTAATACTTACTCTCCCCAAACACTCTCATCTCCAGGATAACTGTTCTAGAATAGTCCATTCATCCTTCCAGTTCTGCTCTCCACTCTGCTCTGGGCCCTAGGAATTCTGTCTCCTTAGGCTGCACCTGGGCTCCTGTCCTTTCTGGCTTCTGTTTGGCCAACAGGAGGCAACCAGAGGCAAAGCAGAGGACACAGAGGCATGGGAAGAGGGCGGGTGTAGAGAGGGTGTTTCAGAAGCCCATGCCACCCCACAGGCCATTGGGGTGGTAAAGGGTCTCTGTTATGACTCTTGCCAGATTTCTCCCTTGCTGTTTCTCCAAAGCTTCCTACATCCTTGCAAAGGGCCTCTTTATTGAATCGGTCTCAAGTAATTCGGTCTGAGACCACCCTCTGTTTCTTGTCGGGAAGCTGGCAGATGTGGCACCATTGCTTGGAATGCTCCTTTCTCTTTGTGCTCTGTTCCTGAGGCCTGGCGAAGATCCCAAGCTCTGCAGGACCTCAGGCCTTCAGCGTGAGGGCGGCCTTTGGCCACTCAGCCCGGCTCTTGTGTTTCTCCCCTCAATCTTTGGTTTCTTTTCACAGTTCCTCTTCCTCTGCCTTAAATACTGCTGTTCTTCAAAGTCTTATCTTAGAAATGATTTTCTCATCCCTCACCAAGGGTGCTTACTTACTTTGAAATTTTCGTATTTCTATTTTTTCTTTATTAAATTTGAAAATTTAATTGTTATCTATATTCTGTTAACTCTAAAAATCTGTATCAGTATCCTAACTTTTGTCCCTGAGGACCAGATCTGAGTTATCTAACCAAAATCCTCCCTTGGCTAGAATCTTAAAACCTTCCTTCAGACCCTTAAATGTCAGAAGAGCTCTTATCTGCTACTCCTCCTCTAGGATTTCAAGAAGTTGTTTAGAAACCAGGGTGTCATGCTTGATGGTTTTCCTTTGCCTCCTTTCTACCCACTAATCACCAAATCCTATCCTTACTGGACGACGAGGAGAAGCCCAGCCCTTGTCCTTCTGATCATTCTACATATAGTGGTCAAAGTGATTTTTTTCACTAACTTTTTAGTCCTTTAAAATCCCCCAGTGGCTTCTCATTGCCCCAAGGACAAAGTTCAAATTCACACTCTGGCCTCTGTAGTTCCATCCTCCTCTTCCCCACTGCCTTCCTCATGTCCTCCTGGACCACTTCCAATTCCTGGATCACTTATGTTCCCTTTGCTCAAAGCACTCAGAAGGTAACCGGTGATGAAGGTTAAATGGGTAACTCAAAGCCCACCCTTGCTGACTCTGCCAGACTCGTCCCGAGTCTCAATGTGACCTTCACCTCTTCCAACAGATCAGACCCTGAATCAAAATCTGGGTCCCGTGCTCCCCCTATGTGCTCCTTCGACTGCAGCTTGGCTCAGGCACAATGACTTGCTAATCTCAGTGAGGGCGGGGACTATCTAACTTTTATTTATCAATAAAATCTTGGCTCCCAGCACAGATCCTGACCCACAGTAGACATGCAATAAATACTGATGTCAAATGGAGGAAATGAGCTCAGAGTAGCGAGGTGGCCATGGGTCCAGAGATCTTTCCACTGCAGTTATTTTCCCACCACCCCCACCCCTCCTGGAGCCTGCTGAGATCACCTAAGCCCACAGAAATCGCTCTTCTCCTTCAGTTTGCTTTGTCTACATTGAGACTGGAAGATGAGTCTGGTAGAGTCAGTGAGGCGTGGGCTCTGACTTAGCCATTTAACATTCATCACCCGTTGTCTTTCATGCAGGTTACTATACATACATGTACGTTACTATACAGTTCTCTCTCCAGGTACCACCCCGCCCCCGGAAAACAGGGACTGCATTCTTATTCTTGTTGCTCTTGGGTTCTCCAGCTCAGGCTTGTAATATCATTCAACAAATGTCCACTGAAAGCCTACCTTTCCCAATAACCGCTGAGACACAGCAGTGGACAAAACAGATGGTCCTTTGGGCCCTATAATTCACAAGGGAAAGAGGATTCAATAATAACTTAACCACCAATAGTGCAAGTGCATGCCAGCAAATTTTACATTCTATAGCAAGGTGCCAGGGGGTCTCAGAGCCAGAGGGAAAAGGAAAGTTGTATCTGTTTAGAATGTGACACTGACCTGAAGGTACAAGGAGAACCTAGTTGTTACTGTTATTATGGTGGCGTTTTTAATTTTGTTTATCTGTTCGAGGCAGGGTCTCACTCTGTAGCCTAGGCTAGCCTGGAACTTGCTGTTTAGCCTAGGGCTGGCCTCAAACTTGTTCCAATCCTTCTTCAGCCTCCTAAGTGTTGTGACTATAGGCATATATAACCAAGACCAGCTATTTATTATTCTTATTCTTATTTTATTATTTTTGAGACAGAGGCAGGAGGATTGACACAGGTTTGAGGCCAGCCTGGTCTACATAGTAAGAGTTCCACCTCAAGACAAAACCAAACCCCTAAAACAAATCCAGGTGTGCTGTAGGGAAGAACACAGCCTTCTCATAGCTTCTGAAGTCAATTCCTGATTTTCCAGGGCTTGGCTGGCCTTCTGTATCCCACCCAGGCCCTGCTGGGTTCGCATTTGTTTCCCTCCCCGGGAGTGATGAGGCAGTGGAAAGTTTACAAAGTCCTGCCACAGACTCGCCTCCAGCAGGGTGTCTGTCCCACGGCAAACAGTCAACATGCAACAGGATACCAATGCACACACCGGAAGGGAAGGGAGCGTGTGCCTCTGAAGCTTCCAGGAGCTCAGGTGGGCAAACACAGTCTGTTGGCAAATGGAAAATAGGCGTGGCCACGAGCCGAAGGAAGTGTCTCTTCCTGTTACCCAGAAACACAAGCATTGGGAAGGAAAGTTCAGAGCGTGGTTTTCTGTGCTTCTTTTCCCACTATCTTGTTAAAATAAC